AGAGGAGAAACAAAATTCAAACCTTAAGATCCAAGTAATAGCAGCTAATGCAAGTGGAATCACTCAGTCACAGAATGTCTTGCAAGGCAGGTACTATAATTCAATTAAACAGTTCATTAGCCACCTGATACTGAAAACGTGGGATCTCAACAAGCCTCAGAAATATTCTCATAAAATGCGCCTCTCAGCTTTTACTTAAAAATATTCTCAACAGATAGCAATACGGTGGCTGCACTGTCAAGTCATAACTGAGCTCCTAATTAATTCAAATAATGTTACCTTGAACATCCACACCGCGTAAGTGCTACTCATTCCTAAGCTCTCTTTTAGAGTAAGCCAACAAGTTTCCCATAAAACAAAGAAAAAGCTACAGTTCTGGAGATAGCCCACTCCAGTGAGCCCTCCTGAAATGCAGAAATAAGAGTCCACGAGGTAGACTATCGTACCAGTAGGAAGTACGCTCCTTCCTACACGCTGCTTGGACGTGATCCTAACAGACCCTGACTTCTTAAGCATCTCCGTGTTATCCTGAGTACGCAACATAAATCCTGTTTCACACTCTGAGTACACCATCCTGGCAGTTGCAGGGTAACAGTCACCTTTCCCCCCACTGCCCCCGATTCAGAGTGTCTGAAGGAACCATAACTAAGTAACCACACCTTCAGGCCACAGGATCACACAGGCCCACGGGAGACCCATGACCAATTGCTACGCAGAGCATCCACAGCCAGGCTGCTCTGGAGGTTCGTCCTCCACAGAGCGGACGCAAGCACTTGGCCAGGAACTAAAGGCATTTTGCGGTCTGTAGCTTATCTCAGTCTTTTTAGATTCCATCATAATCACAGCTTTCTTGAGGTAAGCAAATAAAGCCGGTATACTTTCTACATTGGCTTCCCACAGGGTATCATGTCATGTAAGATCTTTATCTTCACCTGCCAGGCTCAGTGCTTCTAAAGACCCCATAAAGCTCTAAAGTATCTATTGTGGATCATCTAAAAAGCACAACAAAAATTACCTGAAACTTCCTTATGACTGACAGCAGTACGACCACTGTAAGCGGCTAGTAAAAGGTGGGGCAACAATGACCTATGAAAAAACCCCAGATCAAGACTTTTTTTTTGCAGCTACAACTTGAGGAATGCCATGGGAAGGCACCAACGCTCAAATGTGTGTTTCTCTAAATATAGTCAGTTTGTCTCCAAAGTACCTCTAGTCACTAAACAAGGAGTCATCCTAACCAACTCAGATGATATTTTATATCCTTTTCTTCAGTAAGGAAATAAACTGCCAACTCCATAGATACATAAAATAAAATTTAAGGTACATTTACACACTTCAAGAGATGCATCGAGAAGTGAATATACTTCAGAAACATTGTCATTGCCATCTCTTTAACCTCTCGTCTTTGAAAGAAAAGAAATTAATTGACTTAATATTTTGTATGCTATGAAATAATTCACTCATCCTAATATTTGCTAGTGTGCTAGCCTTACCAGATCATCTTTCAAATCTTCTCATATTTAGTTTGTTGTCAAATACCAGGAAGATTTTAATCTGAGGTTCAAATGTAAAATATTTGGGTGCTAAGACCGCATCTTGCTTTCATATAAATGAAATGCCTGCTACATTTTTAGATGATTTTAAAATGCATTGGTCCTACTAAAAAAAACCCAAACAAACCAGAAGGACCAACAAAACAAACAAATAGCTTCTATTTGTAATAGATTTTTATCTTAATTTTCACAGCAAAGTATCAGAGGGCCAGTAACTATTCCTCAGTTGCTTTTGGCTATGCAAGTTAGAGACCGTCTCTCTCTCTCTCTTCCAGACTGTGCTAAATTACTGGGCAGCACAATGGAAAGACAGTTTTATGGACATGACACTTTAAAATTCTGGAAGATATTAATATGCTACAAATGGCAAATCTTTTAAGACGCTCAGTGGCTGCATCCTCCTTCTCATTGGCTGAGAAGTAGTTTCTTTCAGTGCATAAGATCCTGTTCCTTCACACTGCAGCTTTCCTTCCTACAGCTATTCTGTTTTGCAGGGTTTTCTAGAGCTGCTGCCAAAATTTTGACAACTTAGCTAAGTGGCTACCATTCAGAACAGTACTCACTGGAACAGTCATATTAGTGAGTTAATGTCACACACCAATTACACAGTAATTCTTGATTCACTTTTCCACACGAAGTACTAAAGAAGCAGCCGAGTTGTACTGCTCCATTTTCAGGACCACAATACAGATGTGATGCTGAAAACTTGCTTTCCTCTTGTATACATTAAAACCGACCACAGACTACTTCCTCTGCAATTGTATAGAAAAGAGTAAGAAATCAGCATCTCTAACAGTAACCACGACCATGAAATCGGCTGAAGAAAACTCTTCAGACCATCATCTTCAGTGTATTCAACTGTACAGATTACATGGCTAATTGAGTACCTTCAAATATTATTGATAAAATGCTTAAAAGCCTTATGAAAACACTGAAATTATGTCATCACTATGCTATTTAAAGATTATTACTAAAGCATTATTAATGAAAAAAAATTTGTAACAAGTAAGCTTTGGGATTCGTTGGTCTGCGGTGTTTTCAGATTAGCAGGAAGCTGATAAAGATTTTTGGCCTTTTTCAGTTGGATGATCTTTTGCAAGTTCTTTAGCCTTACATTTTCTAGATCAGGCAACAAAAGAAAAACTTCAGTGACAATTTTTGAGGAAATTATCTGTAAAGCTTTGAGGGGGTGAGAAAACTAGGTTCGTAACAAGAAAACACATGTGCGTACAGGGGGCTGAGATCAAGGTATCTTGCTTTCCCAGGTCCAGCTGTTGGGGCTACAGTGACTTATAAAGCCCACCATAATTCACATAATTCATCCCCGTAAAATGACAGTCTAGGCTCTAAGAGTTAAAAGTGATTTGGTAGAACACCCGTTTATACTGTGTTACATTTAATTTCATATCGAGAAGAATAACAGCAAATGCTACTGCTGAATGCACCTTTAATTTCACCTTGCCACACATGTTTTTTAGGGGGGGTTGTTTTGGGGTTTTTTTAATTCAGGTTTTTAGAGAGTCTGGAACCATGGCTGAACACATATGATGTATTTAAATTATAAGTAATACCAGAATGCAAACTCAACAGCATGAATTTTATATTTGCAATAGAAAATGCATCACAGATGCGAACAATACATTATTTTGTTTTTAACTACATAGAGCAGTTGTTTCAACACCAGTTACCAACATCAGACAAAACACATAATCATTGTTATGACCAAAAATTTTAACATATGGTCTATTATTAATTATCAACCTACATATAAAATCTCCTTCCTTATGCAGTATTTTATAGATGCTCATCAGCATTATCTGAGAATGCTGCATACAATAATGGATTGATTTGAAAAATCTACAAGATAAAAGTACTTGTAGCAAGATGAAACTAGCACCTCATTGCATAGAAAAGATTGCAGATTTAGCATTCTTAACTGCAAAGGCATCCTTCCACCCTATTTAAAAATATGTATCAAGAAAAACTAGAGAAGATTCTCTGCTACCAACTGCAGTTTGACTGCAGAATGATTTAAATGGGGAAGATTGCGGGTTTGTGGGATGGTGGTTTTATTTCTTTCACCTTTTGGAGTTTATTGGGATTTTTTTTTAAAGAACAGATACTTAGGCATAAAAAAAAACACCAGAGAGGATCTTCACAATCAGCATAAGCACATTTAACTTCTATAGCTACTGAAATACACAATCCCACTTCTCCTGCATTATGTTGGCTCTACAGACATGTCATTGTGTAGTGAGTGAAGAAACCTGCCAGACTCTCGATTTGGCAAGTTTTGCTTTCAGACAGATCAATGAGATTATTCAACTTACCCTGTGACTTCACGATCACTAGAAGCAATAGGAATAAGGGAATGATGAAGCTAGAGTTGCAGGGAGGGCAGGCT